CCTAGCAGCTAATACTCTGGCCAGAGAGTATTGCCTGTAGTACTGGATCAGAAGCGAGAAAATGTTGTCTCCTATGAGTTGTTAGCTCTAAATCGCTCGGGGGTGGGAATTCCTGCTTTCCATCCGACCTGTACGAGCATTTGAGACAATCGTCATATCTAGCGCACTTTTCGTTTTTTTCGTCAGGTTCGTGCTAGCTGAAAGCTGAGGGTTTAGGTGATTGATACTTGGGTGTTTTAAAAGGCAGCAGTGCTGCCGACCGACCGCATCTACTCTTACGAGCGCTTCCTTTCGAATGCAAAAAAACACATGGTCTTCCCTGAGGTTTTTTCTCGAGGCAAAAAACAAAAAGCTGTTGGAGCTTGACACTTTGACGCCTGTTGACCGCATGTTCGCTAACTTTTTTGAAGTATAACACTATGCCCGGGCTTTACCCACGCCCCCCTCCCCTACTGCCTCTTTAGACCTCGCATAACGATTTTTGCGTTCGACTTCCTTAAGGGTTGAGATATAAAGAGTCACAAATAAATTTACAATATATATATATATATATATATATATATCCACAGAGATGCAAACAGTGTGCTTATAAATTTACAAAAAAGATCAACTCTAAAAATGGTGGAAATCATTTCGTTGGACTATTATCTCAACACTGGATTATGCCTGGTTTTTTATTTTTAAATAAATTCAGGTTTTTCTCGAACCCCCCACTTTTTTATGGAAGGTGTCGGTTTGACTCGTAAGCAACCTTGTCATTGCCGGGCTCAAGTATTAGAAATTTTCCTTGTTGCTGAAAATTATTGCTTCCGTTATAAGTTAGGCAAAATAGTCTCAAGAATCATGTTTCAACTGTCTCTATGTGGGATGAGATAGTCATGGTATATCCAGGAAGGATCTTACGTACATATATTTATCCCATTTATAATTTTGATAATCATCTTAAAATTCGAAGAATTTTTCCCCGCACGAATTTCAAGCAAGCACTGTACCATGATGTATAGTGGTTCGTTTCCTGCGAAAATTCAGTTTGTTGTATTCGCTCCTTGGTTATTGATATTGTACAGTGACAGGTTGCCTCTGATGAGCAGTCGCGCAATTTTTGGATCTAATACATTCTACATTATTTGCTTGCTTTAACGTGATTGTAGAGGGTAAATTGCCCCCTGGAAAGTCTATCGTCAAATACAAATGGCTATGTAAACGCCACTTCTTCTTTCGTGCACTCTGGAAATCGCACATCTACTACTGTCCTTGACGTTTGTTCCGCCTTATTATGTTGTTTTTAATGGGATAATGGGCATTTGGAACATCTTTTTAACCCAACTTAGTCACTAGTGTACCATCAAGGACTAAAGGACCAAATTCAACGACATGTTCACATCTCAATAACACTCAGCTTCCCCTTTCTCTATTTAGTCAGTCCCTTCTCTTGACTGGTCATTCCGACGTCTGTTTTAGACCCATGCTCAACTCTTTTTTTTGCAGAAGTTAAACGGCATCCACAAGGCATTATTTGAGAGTGATATCCCCGGATGGTTTGATCCATCGACCGAACAAGTCTCCATCCTCGTCAGCTTCAACCTGCTGGATCCGTCCGGCGTTTCCAAGCTCTACATGGATCGCCTAACCGACGCTGTCAGACAAACCTGCCCGCCGAGGCTCTGGTCGAGTCTTCTCGCTGCTCCAAAAAAATCTCGTAGGCGTCGTCCCTTTGGAAGGGCTGTGCAGGAACTCTCGCCACCGGAGGCCTCCACAGTGTCGCGCACCTCGATAAAACAACTTCTGTCCCTCCTACCGGACAATGTGTTCTTGCAGAAGGTTATTCAGTAAGCAGGTTTTTGTATATACAGGGTGTCCGTGAAGCTGTCTTCAAAAGTATAGTGCCAAGTAAATTGCAAATGTGAAGCTACTTTTCGGACACCTTGTATACAGTGCACTCTGTACAAGAGCTCGAAAGCAACTCCCTAGTAAGAATTTCGCATACTACAGCCTTGCTTGTGTATGTGTCTTTTTTTTTTCCTGCTTCCCTGTGTCCCGCTATACCCGACGTTACTTTAAAGATCCAACGTGCACTTTCAGCCTCCAGAAAGAA